TGTGACAGCATGGAGGTGTTTTAAAGCATTTCACCTTTCATATAATCGGCTGTCTCCCGAATTTTCTCTCATTTCAATCTCCTCATTCATCTCCTACCTCAACAGCGTTAAGGGCCTTGAAGTCGGGTTCATCAACGGTTACCTGAGCGGCATCCAATTTTTGATCAGTGATTTTTGGCACTCCCTCCACTTGTCATGCCCTTGGAATGCCCCTTTGTTCTGTGTCTTGTGTTTTGCTCCCTATGTGCTCCCCATGACCCAGTTTCTTCCGTGTTTTATTATGTTCATTGCAGGTATGTCTTGTCTAGTTCCCCTCGTTTAGTTCTGGATATAAAGTGTGTTCTGACCCTTGTTTCCTGTCCGGTGTCTGAAGTCAATTCCCTGTGCTATCTGTGTGTTCCTTCCCTGAGTATTTATTGGGATAAATAAAGATTGCTCCTTGCGATCTACTCTGTCGTCTTTGCGCTCCTCGTTCCCCCTCAGTAGGCACATCGTGACAGAACACCGGACCGATAAACAGTAAGCGGCGCCCCTTCTCCCCATGTATTAGTTTCCGTTTTTAAAAAAAAAGAGTTTTGTTTTCCATTTTTTCCCCTCGCGATCATGGAAACTGCTGCGAGATTCGCCGCCTTGGCCAGCAGGGATCTTCCCTTTGTGGAGTTCGCTCGGGAATTCTGCGGGCTCGCCGTTAAGACAGAGTTGGATGACGCCACACTGAATTCTCTGTTCTCTGTTACCATTGCCCCGTGGACCTCCCAGACACCACTGGACCGAGCTGGAGGGAAGGTATCCTCCGGTGTCTGGAGAGTGTCCGACCCCGATTCAGAACCAGCTATGCATCAAGCTAGCCGGCCGCTCAGCAGTCAAGCCCACCGGCCGCTCCTCTGTCAAGCCCACCGGCTGCTCCTCCGTCAAGCCCCCCAGCTGCTCAGCAGCCAAGCTTGCCGGCCGCTGCACTCTCAAGCCCGCCAGCCGCTCAGAAGCCAAGCCCACTGGCTGTTTCATTGTCAAGCCCGCCAGCCGGTTCACTCCCAATCCCTCCTTCTCCTTCACCTCTGCTCATAAAAGGGGCTGCAGTCCCTGAGTCCGTTCAAGTGTCGGCTCCAGCCCCTGAGTCCGCTCCAGTGTTGGCTCCAACCCCTGAGTCCACTCCAGTGTGTGCTCCAGTTCATGAGTTAAGCCCAGAGAGGGCTTCTGTTCCCACGTCCAGCCCAGGGAGGGCTCCCGTTCCCACATCCAGCCCAGAGAGGGCTCCTGTTCCCAAGTCAAGCCCAGGGAGGGCCGCTGCTCCTACATCAGGCCTCAGAACCCAAAATTTCCCCAATAAATTTTTTTTGGGGGGGGGGGCTATAGGGCTCCGGCCGTAGAGGCCGGGCCGAGTGCCGAGGCCAAGGCCACAGAGGCAGCTCCGCCATGGCCCCCTGAGTTCCCTGCTCCGCCATGGCCCCCTGAACTGCCTGCTCCACCATGGTTCCCTGGTGAGTATTGAACTCCTGTTGGATGCTGTGAGAGCCCCCTGGTCAAGCAACCTTGCCTTTTTCCTTCCAACTACAAGGCTTTCCCATCTGATGCCGTGAGTATTAAACCTTTACACTATTTATTACATGTAAGTGTGAACTCTTGAAATCAGTGATGCTGTTCACACTGGATGTGGCGCGATACGATATGGCAAATCATAGACAGACTTTAGCTGTTGTGGTGTAACATGTAAATTGTCGCATCCGGTGAAGACACGGTGTCAGACTCCAGCGGCAGAGGGGCCACGCATCACCACCCAAGCGCGGAACGAGGAACAAGGAACAAGGAGACATGAAAAAATCTACAGAGATCGTCTGAACACCAAACGCCAGCACGAGAAGAACTTTGTTTCCTCTGGTGATCCAGGAAAGTGGATAACGCTAGCTGCACTGCTAAACGGGATATTCTTCAAGAACGGAGTGTTTACAGCGGAAAGCCACAATGGTAAGCCTTTTGGATTACAACTCCTGAAATATGTGGCGAGAGTTCTGAGGAAGTTCCCGGCGATACAATCATATCCTGAGAATCTAACACCGACTCTAATAGCTGACTGGATCCGCGAACAGCTGCGCTACCTGCGGGAAACCGTTCTGCCCTCTCTGCGCACACGAGCGACTCACGGCCGGCGGAACGAAAAGGTGAGCAGGAACAAACTCGCATATCTGTGGCAGCATAGAAGATCTAAAGCGATCCAAGTCATCTTAAACAACAGCGAATATCCCGATCCTCCTCCCTGTCCTAGTGACATCGCAGCTATACAAACTTATTACGATAATAAATGCCTAAATCAGAGGCGTAATGAGGATCGTTCTTTCCCACCCTGGTATCTGAACGTGCTGCCGCTGAAGCCAACTATTTTCCCTGAAACAACGCATTTCACATATAAGGAGGTAGAGACCGTGTTAAATAATCTCCCTAATAACAAAGCAAGTGGTAAAGATGGTGTGACATATGAGACCTTTAAAACCATGCAGTCATGTCGGCTAGCAAAGTACTGTGCTTTGTCCTCTATCATAGGCAGCCGTCATATATGGCGGAGACGCTGTTATTTATACCCATAACAACTGAGTGATATGCTTAATATTGTGAAGACTTGTTGCACGCCATTGGTCTATGATTTTATACATGTATCTAACTGCATCTATAATATTTACGTCCTTGTAAGTTATTTCTCTTAAGTGGACTTAAATAAATTGTTAAAATGTGAAAGTGTGTGTGTGTGTGTGTGTGTGAGAGAGAGTGAGTGTGTGTGTGTGTGTGTGTGTGTGTGTGCGTGAGCGCGCATCGGGGGGAACTCCGCTGTGCATGATGCAGAGAGCGCGACCATAACGTAGAGACTGAAATGACATGCCGTTGTGTAAAGATAAATAACATAAGGCTATTTAGTTTGCTTAATGAAAGAACAAGGTATAAACATGTTCTATAAGAAAGGTAACTTTGAATTACTTCTGTTGTGATCTGGCGCTATAGAGAAAATATAATTAAATAAAATGATCATGACTTTCAAGGGGGGCGGGGGGTGCCGTGGGGGGGCAGGCCGCCCCCCTAAAATAATGGCAGGGGAAACACTGAACCATTTACCATAAGTTCCCGCCACCTCAGCACGAGCTGACCGATAAATCTAACACACCAAGAGAGGCGGGACTTAAGGCAGAACAGCCAATCATCAGCCGGTCACACTCAAAGCCGGTGTCATGTTTGAGAGGGAGGGGGAGAGGAGGCAGCCGCAGCGAGCGCAGACACAGAGCGGCCAGAGAAACGGAGGAGCGACTGTAGTAAGGCGTTTGTGCAAAACTGCGGAAAAACTGCAGAAAAAGTGCGGGTGTTGAACCCTCTCACCGGGAAAAGTGTGGGTGTTAAAACACCCACATCCCCCACGGGTGCGACGCCCCTGTCCGGGTAGCTGGTAAGTTCGGCGAGGGCCAGAAGCAGTATAGTATGGTCCTCGAGCGAGCGATCCCCCTGCTCCAGCAGGAGGAGGAGGAATTCGGGGCGAAGGAGGGGATCCATAGAAACACAACAGAAACAAAACACTGAGGGAAAAAACACGGAAACAAAAACGGAGGGTAGACACACAAAGATTACTGATTTAGGTCAGTTCTTCTGTCACGAACTGTGCTGGGAGGAGCATGGAACGAGGAGACATGGAGTAGATAAACAGTCACAACATCCAATGAGTAGAACCGACAAAGGAAGACTGAACAAACTTAAACTTAAATACAAGGGATAATGACTAAACACAGGTGTCAGGAATTATAATCAAACTAAACGAGGACAGGAACAAGACCAAATAAGGAAAAACAGGAACAGAAACAGGGGCAAAACATGACACCAAACAGTCCAGAATCCTGACACCTCCAGTGTTGGTAAGGTTACTTTGGAAATGTAATAGATTACATATTACAAGTTACCCTATAAGTAGTGTAACTATTTCAATTGCTCTATTGAAGTAATGTAAATGATTACATTTGATTACTTTTTGATTACTTTTATCAGTGAGTAAAACAATGGTAATGTGTGTGAATAGAGTATTAGTGTAAGCGAGATTAGCGGCAACCACGCTGGCGATGCTAGCGGGCTATATGCTAATAGCGGACTCGGAAGTCAAAAATAGAACTAGTGCTAACAAAGCGCTCTGATTGTTTTTGTTGTAGAATACGATAGGGGATATATTCACACGTTATAAAACTGAAAAAGGATGGTGTATAAAATTGATTTTAAGATAAAAATTAGACGACAAAGAATTAACTTGACGGAGCTCAAACTCAAACCACACGGCAGCAACAAACAGGAAGTGACATCTTCCTGACGTCTACAAATTTGTAATGTTTTCAGTTGTTAATCGTTTTCAAACATTTAAACCAGGCAGGGCTAACCTTACAGTAGTACTCAAAACTGATTACTGTCAGACTTTAAAAAGCCTTCATCACTTGAATGAAGATTATAATTTTATTTAAAGCAAAGCCACCACAAAATCCGACTTTAGCACCTCTATTTACTTTGAGATCATTTTGAGGTTAAATACAGATTTAATATCAACAAGAAATAGTTGAATAGCTAAGATACTGTTTTTGAAATCAAATCTTAGCATAGCTATGACAGAAAACACTGATATCTAACAATGCCTTGAAAAAAGTAGTTAATCTTAAAACAAAGCATATACTGTACATCAACGCAAACAGGAAATAAACCAGTTATTGAATAAACGTGTCTTATTCTGTCTCCCTAAACACCTGAAACATTGGTGTCTCATATTGTAGAGCAATGTATTTACAAATATTTTTCTCAGTAACTGTAACTAATTACAATTACATTTATTTTGTAATTAAATTACGTAATTCTGTTACATGTAACTAATTACTCCCCAACACTGCGTACCTCAAACACAGAACCAGGAAACAGGAAACACTGAGTTCAGGCAAAGAGAAACTGAAGTGTGGTTGAGCTGTTGTGTGTTTGTGTCTCTGTATTCAAGCAGTAACATGGCAAGATCCAGAGTTTTTCAGGATGAGTTCATGTGTGCAGTATGTCAGCATCTCCTGAAGGATCCAGTGACCATTCCCTGTGGACACAGTTACTGTGAGAGCTGTATTACAGGCTGCTGGGATCAGGAGGATCAGATGAGAGTCTACAGCTGCCCTCAGTGCAGACAGACCTTCAGTTCAAGACCTGCTTTAGCTACAAACACCATGCCGGCTGAACTGGTGGAGAAACTGAAGAAGAGGAAACGTGCTGCTGACTGTGACGCTGGAGCTGGAGATGTGCAGTGTGATGTCTGTACTGGAAAAAAATACAAAGCCGTCAAGTCCTGTCTGATGTGTCTGAACTCTTACTGTCAGAATCACCTTGAGCAACATGAGAATTGGTTTAAAGGCAAGAGACACAGTTTGACTGATGCCACTGGACGACTGCAGGAGATGATCTGCCAGAAACATGAGAAGCTTCTTGAGGTTTTCTGTCGCACTGACCAGAAATGTATATGTGTGTTATGTATGGATGAACATAAAAACCACGACACTGTATCAGCTGCAGCACAGAAGACAGAGAAACAGGTATTTAAAACTAGATATCAAGTTAATTCTCAATGTAGTGATCCAATAGTCTGTTTATTTTCGGTGTAGAGCTGCAGCTTAATTACACAGAAACATTGTCAGTGTGAAGCTCTACGTACGTTTCAGTTTCACTTTTATGATACTTATGCTTGCAATGTTAACAAGCCTTAACATCATATCTTAACTTTATAATGTGTGTTTGATGATTGTAACCGATCATCATTTCTGGAGTTTGAACCTACAGCCATTGGTTATCAGTTCCACTTTTCTTGTATTCATTGATGATTTAGTTCCAGTTGTTTTCTGTGAGATTCACTATGATCCATTTGTCCTGCAGAAGCAGCTGAAGGAGACGCAGAAGACGTTCCAGCAGAGAATCCAGCAGAGAGAGAAAGATCTTCAGCAGCTGAGAGAGGCTGTGGAGTCTCAGAAGGTGAGTCTGGAGAAGAAGAGAAGTTTGTCTCAGTCTCAGTTCACACTCACTGAAGCCTGAATCACTGTGTGTCCTAACAGCGCTCTGCACAGACAGCAGTGGAGGAAAGTGAGAGGATCTTAACTAAACTGATACGGCTAATCAGAGATCAGCAAAATGTTGCAGTGAGTCGAGCTGAAGGACGACTGGAGCGACTGGAGCAGGAGATCAATGATCTGAGGAGGAGAGACGCTGAGCTGGAGCAGCTGGAGCACACACAGGATCACATCCAGTTCCTGCAGGTAACACAGATCTAGAAGAACAGGATCATAGTGGACTTGAGCAGGTCCTGCTGTGACAGAGACTCACAGAGAAACATTTCATGAGTGTCTTATTATATAATCATCAGTCAGACTCTCATCTGATCATCTTCTTTTGAAAGCAGTGGTGGACAGTATGAAGTAGTTTTACTTCGTTACTGTACTTAAGTCAATTTTTCAAGTATCTGTACTTTACTGGAGTAGTTTTATTTTTAGTAACTTTTACTTTTACTTCACTACATTCCAAAACATAAGATTGTACTTTTTACTTCACTACATTTCATAAAACTTATCGTTACACATTATAATATATCACGTACTCCGAGACACAGAAGCAGTGTCTGATTCATGAACGAACTGATTATTTTCAATGAACGTTAAAATCGTTAAATCAGTTCGCAAATCGCACCAAACGATTCATTCACGAATTGGAATGATCCGATTGCAGCTGTTCTCGAGTCGACAACTCACTGATTCAAATGAACCGTTTAGTGCGAGTCTCCAGTGAACTGAACTCACAAATAAGAACCGGGAGATCTTGTGAGCGTGCGCGCGTCTGATGCTGCTAAAAATAAGTTACTAATGTCGAATAAGATTAATTATTGCAACTGAAAATCATATTTAGGTCAAAGCTGACAGATGTTTGTGAACTAAATCTGCTGTAAAGGGTGATCTGTTTAAGCACACTGAAATGCTTGAATGCAGACACATTAACATCAGAGTCTCTATGTTTTAGGTAAAAAAACATTAAAATAACACAGATTAAATAAAATAACTCATGCATATTCATCTTCCCCGCTGCTGTAAAGTTAGCAGTTTTACTAAAATACTATGCATTTATCCCTATGTGACGTTTGTTTTTAAATTGTTCGTCAGCACACATAGCCTAAGTTACTATGTATCTGGATCAACTAGCCGAGTAGACAAATATAAATGTTTATTCATAACCATGCTGAAAATAAGTCAATGTTAGCTGATGCTAACTGTCTAGCTAACGAGCTTGCTGGTGCTAAATTTAGGTAATATTTTAAAAATAGTCCAAATATTTTTATTCAACCACCTAGATAGATTACATCTGAGGGAAAAAGAAATGATGTGATGTTCAGAACATGGTAACTACAGTAATTATCAAAGTGGGAAGTGATGCCCTCTGGGGGCATTTGGCCAGTGGTGTATTTACTCCACAGACAAGGTTTGAGAAGAAAATAAAATCATTATGAAAATGTAATTATATTTTCCTTATTATATTCATTATTTCCTTATTGGTTATTTTGGGAAAATCCCAGGTATTTTGAGCAGTAGGATTATAAAAAAATATATGCTAATATGCAATTAAATTATAAAAGTAGCCTATATAAAACTGCAAAATAAATTCATCTATCCGTACTTTTTACTTAAGTACATAAAACATCAAGTACTTTTGTACTTTCACTCGAGTAAAATTGAAAACTGAGTACTTTTACTGGAGTAATATTTTCTTATACGGATCTGTACTTTTACTCAAGTACTTGATTTGTATACTTCATCCACCACTGTTTGTAAGAGACGCAATGGCTTTCAGCTCTGGAAATCTCTTAGGATTAATTTCTCTGAGCTCTTTCTTCTAGAAGATACATTTAGCTGTCAAACACCACTAGCCCCACCAACAGTGGCAATTTTTGCTTCTGATTTATTATGTTTCAGTGAAATCAGTGAACTTGATAGTACTGATTCTGAGCAAGGTTCATCAAAATTAGATCAGGTGATCCTCAAACCTTATAATATAGTGTAAGTGCCCAATACTAGAATCTGTAGCTCTAATGTGATGTAATGAATATGAGAAGAATGAAGCTGATGCTGTGAAAGTGCTGGATTGAGGTGAGCTACTAAAGATCAGTCGAGTCAACAAGAGCCGCACAAATCTGATGTTCCTGCAGGTTATTGGGTGAAGTGTGGAGCTGATGAGTTTTGATTTCTGTTTTCTGTAGAGTTTCCAGTCTCTCTCAGCACCTCCTGAATCTACAGACGTAAATGACGATCTCTTCAGTTCTCTCTTCTCTTTTGATGCTCTGAGAGAATCTGTCCATCAGCTGAGAGACAAACTGGAGGATTTCTGCAAAGAGGAGCTCAAGAAGATATCAGACAGAGGTAAAATCCTGGAGATTCATCTGCTCTCAGAAACCAGTCCATCATCATCTCATATCATGGAGAACATCATATTAGAAATGTCTTAGGAATGGATGCAAGATCATGAGAATCACACTGTTCATGTCTGTTGATTTCCACAGTCACATTCACCAACATTGTTCCCAGGACCAGGAACGACTTCCTACGATGTAAGTCAGTAAGAAAACAAGCAGAAAAACTCATTAGGCGCGTTTCATTACAGATTTGCGCAAAACTTTGGCGATATTTTATAAATGTCGATAAAAAAGTATTGCGAAATGACGGCGTTTCCATTAACCAATGTTATGCGACTAAAACGTAACCTTTTGCCTCTCGCGATAAGTCATGGCAACAGATTTTGGTGGGATTTTGGCTATATTTATTCAAAGGAGGCTTATGCGTGTATCTTTACAGAAGCAGCACAGAGAGCCGCTTCAGAAACGTGCGTGGGGCGGCTGGAATAAACACAAGCATTGACTAGAGTGGACGCAATCAGCTTCAGTGGCCATATCAGAGCCACACTGCACCGCAGACGTGTGCAGTGTAAATTGTCTAAGCATTAAGTGAGAGCGGCCAAGTATGAAGTGTTTCTTGGAGGTTATAGTACATTGAAGAATGATCATATTACTTTTTACATACACCATGTGACCTGTAAATGCGAAGAAAAAAAAACGTTTCCATTGCAGTTTTGCGAATTATTCCTTTTTTACATTGCCTGAAAAACCACCTCATGCGAGCATAAAAACTTTTTTGCAATATATGGGCATTTTTGCGAATTTGACGCTTTTCCATTAGGCGTATTTTCAATTCGCAATTTCAATTTGCGCAATTTGAAGGGTAATGGAAACGCACCTATTGAGTGTGTTCATGTTCTTCCTGTAGAAGGTGAAAGAAGAGTTTTATAATTGATGATGTAAATGATGATGTAAATGATGATTTGCACAGCATATCTGGTCATCTGTACTGAGACACTGATGATACACTGAACATGAAGAGTTCAGTTACATGAAACGATTCATAAATCCTGATTCTGATGTGTTTTATCTCCATCAGATTCCCATCAGCTCACTCTGGATCTGAACACAGCACATAGATACCTCCGTCTGTCTGAGAACAACAGAGTGATTGCTGTCTCTTCCAGAGATCAGTCGTATCCTGATCATCCAGACAGATTTGATGTGTATCGTCAGGTGTTGTGTAGAGAGAGTGTGTGTGGATGCTATTACTGGGAGCTGGAGTGGAGTGGAAATAATGGTGTGCGTATATCAGTGTCATATAAGAGCATCAGCAGGATGGGATCAGGTGTCGAGTGTAGGTTTGGATATAATGATCAGTCCTGGAGTTTGCACTGCTCTCCCTCCAGTTACTCATTCAGGCACAATAACATAGAGACTGTTCTCCCTGTGACACCCATCTGCAGTAGAATAGGAGTGTTTGTGGATCACAGTGCAGGAACCCTGTCCTTCTACAGCGTCTCTGACACAATGAGCCTCATCCACACAGTCCAGACCACATTCACTCAGCCGCTCTATCCTGGGTTTAATATTTATAAAGGATCATCAGTGAAACTCATCTGTGTTGATGAATCAGAATAGACTGATGAGATATTCTACCTATAATACTTTGAGCTGCATGACAAATCAGTAACAGTGAGATGTTATTGAGAGTCTCTTCTTTTCCCTTCATGACATTAATACTGCAGCTAAACTTCTGTCAGTGAAATAACATGTCTGAATAAATGTGTGTAATAAATTCTCAAATGGACATTAAGATCAGTGTGTGTGTGTGAGTCCTGCTGAGTGACCATGTCTTTCTGTGCTTTTCTCAACCTCTGTTTGAGTTGATTTATATGCACAACACACTGAATATGCATATAAGCCAAGTCAGAAAGTCAGCTTTATTTATAAAGCGCTTTGTACAATATAGATACAATCAGGGTGTGAATTACAGGGGGGTTTGGGGGGGGGTGTCTGATCCCGACCCCCCTAAAGAAGGCTTGATCCCCCCTGATGGACGTCAAAACTAGATGTAGGGGGGGGTAGATAGAAAGATGGCTAGCCTACGCGTAATATGGAGATTTACTTGTAAATATTAACACGCATAATATGGAGATATACTTGTAAATATTAATATGCATTTCTATAGCCCTGGCTGATTTTAAATTATAATTTTGGCAGCCCCTGAAATGGGTCGTATTGACATTACCTGAGCGGTTGAAGAATACGCTACAGCGCTCATTCAAAGACGTGCATTTATTGCTTGGACAGAGCAAGAACACCTAAAATGCATGTGTAGATTCAGTCAAGTGATAAAGTTTACCCTCTTCAAATGAATGCTGTTGAACTGAATTTACGGAGCAAACTATTTGCTAAAATAACCATTAACAGTAATACAGCGGTTCTGTCAGATGCGCGTGAAAGCTGCATGTGTTTCTATAACGAAGACTGTGTTATCTTTCAGAATCATCATTGGCAGATAGAAATACAAAAATAGGTTACATACGTTTTTTACGTAAAAATGAAGATAAGGTAAAGGTGTGAATAATTACATTTTAGATACATTTTCAGTAATTTCACTAATGAAAATAAAGCCCTAGGAGAACTGTTGTGCATCTTTGATCAACACACAGCAGTGTTTCATTAATGAATCCACGTTTTTAAACGAATCGAGTGAATCAATGATTCAGTGAACCATTCATAAAGGCAGTCACTTGCTTCGTTTCTGAATGAATCAGCCGTTTGAACGAATCGATTGAATGAATTATTGAATGACTCACTGACTTAAGACAGGTATTTGCCACCACCTCCTGGCGTGTTTAATTGTAAATAGAGTATTGTTTGTTTTTTAAATAATTTAATATTTCACAATTTATTTGTATTTTTATATGTTGAATTAAAATATTTCTATCTAAAGCTACTTATATTTCAGCTACTTTTCTGTAATGTCTATTCAGGTCATCAGTAAATGAGTGTGGCATTTAAATGGTAGTGTTTCCCAAATTAAACAAAAGAGCTGTTAGTTTCGAATGGTGTGTGGTTTTTCAAAAAGTTTGTTTTACAATATCAAACTTAGTTTAAAGCATGTAATGTGCTTATAGTTTTGCAGACTTAGTCTAAAGCTTAGGTGTATGAGTGAATGGTTCCACTAAGTGGGCCTCAAATATCACTTTTAGTGTCTAAGCAATAAAAAAACTGTATTACTATCATAATTACCTTTCAATTCAAATGTTCACTATCAATAAATAATTTTCATTATTCACCTTATGGAGCTCCGGCCCTTTCCAGTGTTTTGAGTTCTTGTGTCTTTCGGTGTCACGAGTCACTGTTTTTATTGTCACACATTTAATAATTAACTGTGGAATTTGTTTTCATTTTTAGGTTACAGCATGTTAATTATGTATTCTATTATAGAACAAAGATGTTTATCTGAACGTGTAATAATGAAAACAGGTTTTCTGTAAGGGGTAGGTTTAGGGTTAGGGTTGGGTTAGGATCGAAAATGGCATTTGGTGTGTGTATATATATATATATATATATATATATATATATATATATATATATATATATATATATATATATATATATATATATGAATGAGTGTGTGTGTGTTTGTGTTTGTGTTTGTGTGTGTGTGTTTGTGTGCATA